TAACCTAACCTAACCTAACCCTAACCTAAACCTAACCTAACCCTAACCCTAACCCTAACCCTAACTTCACCCTAACCCTAACCCTAACCCTAACCCTAACCCTAACCCTAACCCTAACCCTAACCCTAACCCCTAGCGGTTGACCCTATAACGACTGGGGTTGACTGGGGTTTTCTAATTTGTACCCTCTACCCTAATGGGGGTCCTAATTTGTACCCTCTACCCTAATGGGGGTCCTAATTTGTACCCTCTACCCTAATGGGGGTCCTAATTTGTACCCTCTACCCTAATGGGGGTCCTAATTTGTACCCTCTACCCTAATGGGGGTCCTAATTTGTACCCTCTACCCTAATGGGGGTCCTAATTTGTACTGTTCTCTCTTTTGGGACACCCTACGGGTTGGGTTGGGTCTCTCTTTTAATCTTTTTACCTCTTCTTTCCCTTTTCGTCTCTCTCCTTCTTCGGGCCACCCTACGGCTGCTACGCATCTTGCCTTGTCTTCTATCTCTGCTTACCCTATTCTACTCTTGCCTCCGCCGGCTTTTCCATACCACGGGCCCACCGCCCACCCTCTACTTACCCCTACTTTTCTCTCTCTCTCCTTCTTTGGGCCACCCTACGGGTTGGTCGGGTTTCTCTCATCTATCTTTCTGTCCTCTTTTCCTCTCTCTCTCTCCTTCTTCGGGCCACCCTACGGGTTGGTCGGGTTTCTCTTGTCTTTCCTTCCTCTTTTCTCTCTCTCCTTCTTTGGGCCACCCTACGGGTTATACGGGTTATACGGGTTTTTCTCATCTTTCTTTCCACTTTTCCTCTCTCTCTCTCCTTCTTCGGGCCACCCTACGGGTTGATCGGGTTTTGATCTTTCTTCTTTTCCTTTTCTCCCTCTCTCTCTCTCTCTCTCTCTCTCTCTCTCTCTCTCTCTCTCTCTCTCTCTCCTCTCTCTCTCTCTCTCTCTCTCTCTCTCTCTCCCTTTGGGACACCTTACGGGTTGCACGGGTTTTTCGTCTTTTTGTTTTTTCTTTTCCTTTTCTTCTTCTGCTTTTTTCTCCCCTGGGACACCACCTACGGGTTGGCCGGGCATCTTGTCTTTTCTTCCATCATTTCTCTTACGATACCTGCAGGGTTGGGTGCATTTGATCTTTTCTTCTATCATCATCATTTCTCTTGCGATACCTGCAGGGTTGGGTAGATTTGACCTTTTCTTCTCTTTTAATTATTCCTCTCTCTCAAGATACCTGCAGGGCCTGTCTCAGCCCCAATTCCAGATTAGATCACACAGTTTGCTGCTCTGGATCCATCCTTCCTCTATCCTCATTCCTACCTTGCTCTTCCTCCTTAACCATTCCACTATCAACGTGCCGGTATCACCATTCTCATCCTCTCCCAGCTCGCCCTCACCCATCATCCAATCCCATACCTCGTCCCTCGAACTGAACAACAACCCTAACGCTACCGATCTCAGTTCCTCTCGTACCCGATGATCGCCCCCGATCTCTCCCTTCTGTCCACACCACCCTTCGTTCCACAACTTCTTCCATTTGATGTACCTCCCCTCTGCCAAACTCATGTCTTTGCCGTCTCTTTTGTACTGCTCACACAGCATGCATGGTCTCCAGCATTTGTTGCAACCCGACGACCCTTCCATCTTCGTCCTGGCCAGTTTCCCATCCATCTCTTCCATTTTCTCTACCAGTCCTAACGTCTTGACCAGTGGACAAGTCCTCCATGACGTGTGCCTGCGCTCCGTCTTGCCCGATCGTGCTGTGCAAACCGTGCAACAACCTCTGTACATCGATAGCTTTGCTTCGAACCCTTCTCTGCTGCTGATATCCGAGCACATCGGACGTTTCGACACTCGGGGGATCTGTCTGCTGTGTTCCAGTTCTTCCACGGCTGTAGCTCGGGCTTCCGGGGTCTCTTGTCGTTCTCCCACTTCTGTTTCTGTTGCTGCTGCTGCTGGTGCTGTCGCTCTAGCCGTGGTGGCGGTTGTTGTTGTTGTTGTAGCTTCCATGGTCCCGGCATCGATCATGATAAAGTCGTCTTCATCCATGTCCAGATCCTCGAATGATGAAGTATCATCATCATCCTTGTCCTCCTTCTCCTGACTCTCATCACCACCGCCATCATCAGAATTGCCTCATCCTCTCCCCACTCTTGTAAACCAAAAATTCCTTCACCACCCACATCGAATTGCTCATCATCTCTCCCCATATCCGCCTGTCTCTGGCCTGGCCGCACCACGCTGCGTAAGCCTTCCACCCCTCCTTCTCCTCTTCCACCACTCGATTCGGTTCGAAGCCGGCTTTTCGGATGATGTTCCTCCCGATCGGATCTCGAACTGCTGTCATCAACACCGGTACTGCTATGCCGGGCCACTGGCATTTTCGTTTGGCGTCTTCCCTGGTGTTGCACATCCTCTGGTTGATGCCGCACTTCCTGCAAGCCTTGCTCGCCTTTGCGTATTTGATCTGCTTCCGGAATGTGTCAACATCGACAATTGTCGTTTCGTCGGCCTCGTCTGTCACCGTCAGCTCTCGACTCTCGCACTCCCGGCCACCGTGCTCCAGATGTGAGTCTTTCTCTTCTGACTTCATCCAACACATCGGACAGCCGAGCTTCATCTCGTCTAGAGCCTCTTCGACCATCTCCTTTTCCAGCTCGGACTGCCTGACCAGCTCTGTACCTGCTGCCACCATTCCACCACCACACCTGTCGCACGGAGCTTTGGGGCGTGATGCTGGCGGCTGCCGCCATTACTACAGTTCGTCTCGCTCTCGGTCTCGCTGTTGTTGTTGTCGCTGCCGCTGCTGCTGCTGTCGTGACACTCCTGGATCGTTTCTGCCGCATCGAAGTACTTGCCTAGCACCAGCCTTCGACAACCCTCCGTCTTGATGTACTCCATCATCGCTGCTCCGTCCGGTCCGAGTGCCTCGTTGTAACGCTCCCGCGTCCCTTGCTCTTCTTCCTCCCACCCTTGCTCCAGCAGTACGATCGAGTCCACTCTCTCGTTGGGATCTCGACCCGCTCTGCCCGATGCTTGGGCGAACTCGATCAGTCCGTATGGCAGTCCCGAGTGGATGACCGCCTTGACGGCCTCGTAGTTGAGTCCGGTGCTGAGAGCTGTCGTCGACACGATGAAGCCGCCGTTCGCCTTCCACTGCTCTAGCGTTTCCCCGCCGTCGACGTGTCCGGCGTAGAAGAAGCCGCAGCCTAGCTTTTCCGCCATCTCCTCGCAGTCTTTCTTGCTTCGGCAGTAGACGACGGCCTTCTCTTTCCTGGTGCTCCGTAGCTCGTCGGCGACCTCTTCGCACACTCTGGCCGTCTCTTCGACCAGCTTGCCTTTGCCGATGTCCTGTCTGACGGTGTAAGTGATGTTCTCCCTCACCGTGCATGCTCGTATGAGCGACATCATTCCGATGCCGATACCTAGACTTCGTCGTAGCTCGACCTCCATGTACCTTGGGAGTGTGGCCGTCAGCATCACCATCGGTACTCCTAGTGACTTGAGCTTCTCCAGCTCCACGAGATGCGGTCTCCAGCTGTGCGAAGTCACCAGCAAGTGGCACTCGTCCACCACCACTCGTCTCAGTCGGCCCTGCTCCGCCATCTGCCGTGCGTACGACCAGAAGTGATCGTGCATCTTGTCCACGCTGACGACCACGAGAGCTGCTGGATCGACGGTGCTGTGACTCCATTCTTCACAGTCACCCACCGTCTTTTGTGCTTCTCGCACCGTCTCGTCGATGAGCTTGCGGAACGGTACCACCACGATGGTCACCCCGACGTCTTCTTCCAGACAAGCGGGTGCGGTGAAGAGTAGAGTCTTGCCTCCGGCTGTCGGCAGAACGACGGTGAGAACGTTGAACCCACCGTCCATGATTCTCCCGAGCGCTTCTCCTTGTGCTTTCGATCTGTATCTGATCGTCACCGCGTCGTCGTCCATTGGTTTCTTGAGTGCTTTGCGTATAGCCCTCTCCTTTTCCTGTGCCGTCGGTCTTCTGTAGCGTTGCAGCCTCTCGCGCCTTCTTCGGCTTCGTTCGATGATCGGACTGTCGTCTACGTGCTGCTGCAGATGCTGTTGGTGGTTCCTGCCGCTGCACCTTGGAGAGTACCTGGATTCGTCGTGGTGGTTGTCATCATTATCGTCATCGTCGATGTAGATGACTTCGTTGCTGTCGTTCTTGTCGTTGGCATCATCGTTGTGTGAGTCGTGCCTGTTTCCCTCTGTCACCGGGGTCGGCATTCCGTTGTTGTTGTTGTTCGAGTAGATGCCCAAGCCAACGATGGGGGTCATGGGTTGCTGTCGTCCCTGCTGCAGCTCCTCTCCTCGAAGTCTTGTCAGTTCGAATTCTTGTGCCTTGAGCTTCATCCGCAAGTCTTCGATCTCCTTCTGCTGCCTTTCGGATTGTTGTAAGAACGGTGAGAGATCTACTGTCGTCGGAGTGGCGGCAACAGTAACAGCTCCTCCTTTGCCGCGGGCAGTCTCTTGATCAATCTCTCTTTCCTCAATCCTTCAAAGTCGACGGTTTGCATCCCATCGTCTTTGTTGCTGCTGCTCTCGGCCTTTCTTTTCCTCTTCGGATCTCTGTGGTCGAGCTCGAAAACCTGTGCCAGCTTTCGCTGAGATCGCCGAAGATGTCGATCGACTCTTGGTTGAGATACTTCAAGATGTCCGCTCTGACCGCGTATCTGCCGGCTCCGGTGCCGAAGCCGCCGGCTTTCTGTAGCTCGATCGCGTTGCCCTCCTCGAGATCGTCATCCATATCACCCGCCTGGGCTTCTTCCGGATCTTCGGCCTCCTCTCGGTAGCCTTTGGCGAACCTCGGTCCGACGAATCTCCTGCCTAGAAAGACGGCGGCGTGTCTGTAGTTCTGGGTGTGTAGCTTGGCCTTCAGTCGTTTGGCCGTCTCTCGTTTCATCGTGTCGGTGAGCTTCTGCGTCTCCCACGGGCCGTGCGAGTCCGCCCAGATGTAGTCACTCCATCCTTGACCGTACTGTACCTGCACCGACAGCAACTCGGCGAACGCCCGCACGTGGGTGAGATAGATGACCGCGATCTGACCCAGTTTCCACGGCAAGAAGCGTGGCACCATCTTGGGCATGTCGAGCATTGCTTGTGACTTGTGGTAGCTCGTCACCGTCATCACTCTGCCGTCCAAGACGAAGACGTTGCGGTGGTTGGCCACTCCGTTGCGGAAGCGCAGACTGGTGATCTCGGTTCCTCTGGCGGGCTGGCCGCTCAAGACGTGCACGCAGAATATGAACAGCTCCCTGAACTTGTCCACCCTCCGGAGATAGTTGGCCACCAGTCTCGACTGCCACTGGTCACCTCTGCGCATCTTCTTCCCCTGGTTCGAGCCTAGCATCCTCTTCAACATCCAGTCGAGACCTTGTGCTTCGAGATCCTGGTTCGGGTCGGCACCGAAGTACCAGCCTCTCTTCTTCACCGTCATGTCGTCGGTGATGCTATCGAGATCTAACACGAAGCGATCTGCCTTGCGGCCTGCCCACATGAGATCCCTCCACATGTAGTCTTCGCAATCGTCTAGAGCGGAGCGTGCCATGGACTTGAAGTTGTACACCGTGAACTCGATGCTGCCGAGAGCGACGCCGGCTCCGTCGTGAGTCCAGTGCAGCTTCCCCTGGGCGTGGAAGTTCTTTGCGATCTTCTTTCCGTACGCTAGCAAGCTCAACATCTCTCCCATCACGCTCATCGATCCGTCGGCTAGAAACTCTTTTCTCTGCTCGAGAAATGCCTCGAAGTCGGCCTCCCCTTGGTTTTCGCGGTCGAGTGATGGGAGCAGAGCTTCGGCGGTCACGATCCTGGACACGTACACCAGTCCGGCGATCATGTAAGAGTAGTCGTTGCCATCGCGTAGCCGAGCGTTGGTCTCGTCGATGCCCATCACGGCCATGAAATGGATTAGAGCGCTGTCGAAGCGGTCGTTCCACACCTTTTGNAACAACAACACCCGACTGAGCTCTACCATCGCTGGGATTTGATCGTCTTCTACGGATGATGTGTCTCCCTCGAGAACGATCAATCTCCACACCTCCTCTAATGCTCTTTCGAGTTGGTCGTTCCATGGGAAGAGCCTCCGAGCATCGTGCATGTGATCTTGTGCTTGCCGTCTGCCTTGATCGTGTTGTGGATCTGTGTCGGAATTGTCGTCGTCGTCGTCGTCGTCGTCGTCGTCGTCGTCGTCGTCGTCGTCGTCGTCGGTATCAGTGTTGGTGTTAGCATTGTACACACTGTTTACCTCATCAGTGTTGGCGTTAGCATTGTACACACTGTTTACCTCATCGCTGTCGCTTTCGGTATCGTCATTGTTGCTGCCATCGCCACTTGACTCGCTGTCCGTGGCTTCGTGACGAGTGCACCATACTCGTAGACAGTAACAAACCATTCGCTTCCAGTACCCGGTGTACCGTTCTTGACTCTCTGGATTCTGCAACCGGGATAGCGGTCTCACGTCTGGCTTGTGCATCTCTGCACTTCGAAGCCAACGACGCAAGCCTTCCGGCATCGAGCTCAGTCCTGAGACACCCCTCTCGACCATCTTCTCGATCACCGCTGCTACCTTGAGTAACGCTTCTTCATCCTTCTCGGGCAGCCGGCTGGTGTACGAGAGATGGGTGAGATTGCAGTTCTTGAGATGCTCTCTCCATCTTGTCTTGTTCCACCATCCGGTGTTCTCGCATTTCTCAACCCTGTCTGCTAGTATCTCCTGCTCTTTCTGCCATTGCTCTTTTAACTTCTGGAAGTCATCTTTGATGCCGTCGAACTGGATCTGCTTGGCTCGGGGAGTGATTCTCCGACACTTGCTCTTTCCCTATCGATCTGATCGGGTGTCTTGACGACAAACCACTTTTGTTTGCCTGAACTCTTGCAAAACGTCTGGATGTAGACATCTTTCCAGCACTGACGGTCTTCGTCAGTAGATTTCCAGCCGTGTGCATTACGACAGTGTTTGCCGATGTTGGTACGGTCGCTGGTGGTGAAGCCGCAGTGACTGGGGGAGTCTGTTGTTGTCGATGCATCCCCTCGTACGTCTTGTTCGCCGGCGGTGTTGTCCTGGTTGTGGATGCAGTAGTAGCCTGGGATTGGCTTACACAGATACTCAATTGCCGGCTGTCCTGGCTCGGGTAGACGGACTGTGGATGGGTCTGGCATGTTGCGTCCGCTGTGATGCTGTCTTAGTGCAGCCCTTGCCTTCTTCGACGTAGAAGTGTAAGAAGTATGGACCAAGCGCAGATGGCTGTCTAAGCCTCGCACTGCGTAGCCGTGTTCCTTGCAGATGAGAACTTCGTGCTCTGCTAGATAGACGTAGTTCGACATGGCTGCTGCGATTTCTTGCTGCTCTGTCTCCTCAATACTGCCTTCTTGACGCGTCATGACTCTAGCTGTGTCGTCCTCGCCGGCTGGCTCTAGAGCGTATTCGGTCAACCGATATGCTAGCTCCATGTCTTCTGGCTAAATGCAAGTCGAGATGGATAATTGTATACTTTCTCTCTTGCTGGATCGTTCATAAGAGAAGCTTAGTGTACGTATGGAACGATGAATAGTGGCAAGAAAAGATAGAGCAGAGAAACAGAACGGAGCGAGAGATTCGCCGACGCGTCTTACCCTTCTCGTAGTGTCTCTTATCAGAGAGCTGTCGCGGAATACACACGCAGAACCTTGCTTGTAGCATTGTGCGACCTGTGGGCTGATCATGCGATAACTATGCATCTTACTTGCTGATGGTTTGCGATATCTCATGAGAATGGTCTAGCGGGACACATGTCTGTCCAATGGGGTGCGGGGGCTAAGCCTGGGACGCCTCCACCCTTGTCAAATCTAATATATATGCTTCGCGTTTCCCCGCCACGCTCTTGCGTTTCTTCAGAATTCAGCTTAGCGTACTATCTTTCTCTTCCACTTTCTCTTTTCCCCCTCTTTTTGTTATCTTACACCTTGCTTTTCTCTCTTGCGCGATTTTCCTGTCTTGCTCGGGCAGGGTGGATCTACATAAGTTTGGCAAAGAATCGAATAGTAGTTGTCACTGCAACTGTAACGATGGCGGGTGTGAAAATGTCCGCACACGTGTTCTCTATCGACTTGAACCAAATTCTGTCGGTGCTGTAGCGACCGCGGATCTCCAGAACGATGTCGCTTCTCCACAGCGCCTTGTCCGCGACGCTTCGCAAGTGCCGTCAGCGGTGCCTCTTGCACCTCGGCCCTCTGCACTTCCTAGCACGCAAGCGGTCGCCGGACCGAGCGCCCCTACGGCGTCTCAAGTGCAACGTCAACACCAATCCCCTTCGAGCTAGAGCCGATGCTGGAGAGACCGAAGCTCGGCTCCAGATGATGTCGCCGGCCGATGTCGAATCGGAACTGCGCAACCAGAGACTCCCAGACAAGCCTGACGTCTCGATCTGGGACTATCTGAACAACCCCGGTCCCGATGTCTCACCTATACAAGCCGCGAGCGACCTGCTTGCTGCTGCAGCCGACCGAGCGGAGAGCGCTAGTGTCCAAGCTGCTTACATCTGGCGATGGGTGAAGATCAACAACCTGTGGGACACTCACCCAGACCCAAACCTTCGTAGTGAACAAGCTTTCATTAACAGTGTTGCTAATCACAAAGTGGTCAAAGTCATGGTCGTCGTTGGCACCTCTGCTCAATGGTCTAAAGAGAACCACCAGCAATCCATTGCTGAGATATGGGGCGACAACTGGCTTGATACTATTCCTGCTTCAATGAGACCTGCCGAGTCTGTCAAAGACCTATCTAAGAGAATGCTGAGTGAAGTGGCCATCACTAGTGCAAACGTGCCAGATCAGCAACAAGCTGTGATCGGTTGGCGTTGTGCTATTGAGAGACGTCTTGATCCTGCAAACCGTCCTCCTCGAACGCGAATCTTGAAGACTCGTAAGCTTATTCCAGAAGATGTCAAGTTCTTCAACAGTACCATGAATGCATCCGCCTCGAGCGTTCGGGAAGATGTGCTAGAGCTGATGCCTGTGGTCCCGACAACACCGCAACAGCAGCCGACTTCTGCTATCCGAACAAAAGACAGTTCCCGGAAGAGAAAGCGCATAGAAAACGATGATCTTACTATCGCCAATCCTGATTTGGAGCCAAGTGATGGTACAGATTGTCTGGATAATGGTCCTCAAGACGTAGCGGAAGCTACGAATACAGTACGCCGAGACGGCGAGTCTCGAATCAAGAGAATCCGTGGCCATCGGATCATTGAACCAGTCACTCCACCTTGCGAGTCTCCTGCTGCTGGCCTGTCGCAACTGTTAGATGAAATTCCCTTAAGCAGTTTTGATAACGAAGCGGTGACATCGGCTGATGGTTCTGATAATGCGACAACCTGTGATGGCCCTGAATTCGCTCGCATGTTTGCTAAATTTGCTGAGATCCACGCATATTTCGAGAAGCATGGCACCTCATCATCGAAACTTGTCCGTAACTGTTGTGACTCCTGTCGCGACTATACGCTTCGTGCCCTAGCATGTCTGAAAGCAGATCTTATACCTTCAGTGGCTGGTATTGAGCAAGTCAAAAACATATATTTGGTGACCGGGAAGTGGTTCCAGGCCGGACGCTCAATGGGACCACTCAAGAACCTACTCCTCACTTGCAAAAATCTAAACGCTTGCTGCGAGTGGTTCAAGATTCTTCTGACGAAGAAACTGAAGAGTTCACTATATAGATCACAAATTTGACCATATATCTTACTCCCAGATCTTTGGTGTTAATGTTGTTGGGGTGACCTTGCATGCCTACAAGAAGTCGGGTGGAGTTGCGGGCGCAATTCTTGGCAAACTTCGAAAGTCATACTTGCCATATTTTGGACAACGATACTCAACAAGTCGCAGCCAGAATCAGAAATCTAAATGGTGCAATTGCCTTTGTATCATATTAACTCATCTCTACCATAGTTTTACAAATATTGAGTCGTGTTCATACAACTTACAAGATCGGGGTTCTACTACGGGTTCAACTTCACTTCTACCCCGCCAAGCGCCGAAAGCATAACCCCATGAAACCCTTTTTAGACGGGCTGTAGTGCAACCCATGGATTCTATTAGCTAGGAAGCACAATATCAATAACAATCAGTTCACCTCAATTCACCTCAATTCACCTCAGTTCACCTCAGTTCACCTCAATATCAAGCAAACAATATCAAGAACAATCAGTTTACCTCAATTCACCTTAATACATCTCAATTCATCTCAATTCATCTCAATACAACTCAATACAACTCATTCACCTCAATACCAACTCAATACAACTCATTCATCTCAATACCAACTCAATACAACTCAATTCATCTCATTCACCTCAATTCGTCTCAATTCACCTCAATACAACTCATTCACCTCAATACAACTCATTCACCTCAATACCAACTCAATACAACTCAATACAACTCAATACAACTCAGTTCATCTCATTCACCTCAATACAACTCAATACCATCCAATTCACCTCAATACCATCCAATTCAATCTCGGCAGCTGTTGCCAGCTACTTAACCACCTTCTTCCCACCCCTTCTCATCATTCTTACTTCTTACCTCCAACAAATTCATCTTTAACTCACAACCCCAACTTCCAACCAACATATCACCTCAACCATGTCCTCTCTTTAACAAGATTCTACTACCTTCATGGCTCTCTGTAAGTTACACTCTCTTCTTCTTTTCTTTCTTGCTATTTTGTTTTCTTTCTTCTTTTCTTTCTTGCTATTTTGTTTTCTTTCTTGTTTTTTCCTTTTCAATTCTTTTCTTTGGAACTTATCAAGCTAATCATTTCTAACTATAGTGGGCAAGACTGGTGCCATGACCCTCGATCACATGCAGCAAGTCTTTGCACTTGGTCGCTCCCTCGTCCACCCTGACGCCATTCCCTCCGAGCTCCGTGGCTACATTCTGGAGCCTGGTAACCCCTACCGCCCTCTTCGCTTTCCCGAAATCAGATCTCAGGCCGGCCTCGTCGCCCGCGCCATTCCAGACCCCACCACTGCCGACGGCCTTCGTCGCTACACCGCCTGGATCATCGCCATGTCCGCGCAGTCCAACCTCTATTCGACAGAACTCGACCCTTGCTGCAACATGTGCGACTCCCACTGGACAACCAGATCTGGACCTACTGCCCGCCCTTTCTTTGGCTGTGCTATCATCGTTCCTGCCGATGAGAACGCCAATCCCCGTCCTGTCCAGCTGCCAGTCGGCGATGTTTCGGAGGGTGCTTGTTGCAACTGTGTGATGGTGGATACCATTGCTGACTGTGACTGCAACAACAGCAATGACTTCACCGGCTTTTGGGATGACGAATGAAAAGGATGATAACAAGTAGTCTTGATCAAATACTGCTCTTTTCTACCTTTATGACATGTACACATAGCAAGGAAATAACATCTAACATTTCTTGACCTTCTTTCATTCATTCTACTTGCTTGCTTACTTACTTACTTACTTACCTGCTTACCTACTTACTTGCTTACTTACTTACTTACTTGCTTACTTGCTTGCTTGCTCACTTGCTTGCTCACTTGCTTG